TCGAGTGAGAGAGAGAGAGAGAGAGCAAGTTTGCGAGTGAGAGAGAGAGAGCGAGCAAGTTTGCGAGTGAGAGAGAGAGAGAGAGCAAGTTAGCGAGTGAGAGAGAGAGAGAGAGAGATGGCAAGAGAGCAAGAGAACAAGAGCGCAAGAGAACGCGGGGGGAGTGCACCTCATATCGCTGCAACATTGCCGGTGTCTGCCCCCACGGCAACCAGGTGCCTCAGGGAGCCCCACATCCTTCGCGCAACGCCACCGCCTACTACACCTATCTCCGCACCGCATCGCTCTTGGCGTGAATCTGCTGTGCCGTACAGCAGAGGGGGGATAGAGAGAGAGAGAGAGAGAGAGAGAGAGCAAGTTTGCGAGTGAGAGAGAGAGAGAGAGAGCAACTTTGCGAGTGAGACAGAGAGAGAGAGCAACTTTGCGAGTGAGACAGAGAGAGAGAGAGATGGCAAGAGAGCAAGAGAACAAGAGCGCAAGAGAACGCGGGGGGAGTGCACCTCATATCGCTGCAACATTGCCGGTGTCTGCCCCCACGGCAACCAGGTGCCTCAGGGAGCCCCACATCCTTCGCGCAACGCCACCGCCTACTACACCTATCTCCGCACCGCATCGCTCTTGGCGTGAATGAGAGGAGATCATTCGTTCGGTTGCAGAGTCGAGGGGATTACACTGATTCCTACACTCAATGAAAAAGTGCTCAGCACTCGTTTTGTAACGGCAACGTTTTAGCGGCAATGACTTAAGCAGCGCGCACACGGACTCGCACGGCAGCGCGCGATAACGCCAATAAATCGATGAAAATCAAACTGCCGTCGTTCCGCGGTGGAGTGAAACCAGCGTGGTGAGTGTACGAACTCGGGTAAATTTCGCGAAACAGGCCGGCTCAACAACAACACAGGGGCTCCCCGCACAAACAAACCAGCTCCATTACGAAGTCCATGCACCGCACTCACTACCAGTACCTACGAACATTTCCGAATCGTGGGCACTTTGCAGCGGATGTGCTCATTGCGGTTAAATTCCAGGAGAAGTTCTGAGCACATCGACTCAGGACCCTGACCTATTAGTGGTTGCGTTACTGAACCTGCTAAGTTGCTAACCCAGCGGAGCAAATACTACTGGAGTTTAACATCGCACACCGCGATGAAACCATTGGCACTTACATTACAATGAAATCACCCGAGTAATACACGTTATTCGTGTATCACAATTTAGCGAGACGTGTTACTGTAAAATAATACAATGTACAATTATTATACATAGTCTAATTATAGGTAGCGCTGTGCTAAGCTCTAGCTAAGCCTACGCATCTACATTTATTATTAGAACCTTGTTAAATTAAGACATGGTAATGAAAATTATTAGGATATTCATTGAGAACTGATAAACGAACTATCCATGTTTCTGTCCCTATGCATAATTTTAGAAAACAAATTGCAGTTAAATTTGAAACAGAGACGAAATTGTTATGCAAATGCACATATGGCATAACATGATACGTTTCAATTCGGGACCATACTCAAATCAACACACACGTGCAACTATGTATAAGTAACGTACGGCAAAGGTAGATTTGCTTACCCGTAGCCCACGTCCTTTGTTTCTACGCCTACTCGTTGCAAATGAGGTATATAGCCACTTCCCATAAAACACGTGCACGACGTAGCTCAGCTAGCATACACTGCAAAAAACAATTTAGTGTTATCTTACGGTCACCCATCTATAAAGCAGAAACTCTTTCTTTCTTCATCGCCACCCGTGCCGAATGCATTGCGCATGCCTATCGACCAGGTCAATATGTGCCGTGTGCGATGCCTATAAATATACATTATACGTTATGCACGGATAAAACACAATCCTCAATTAACGGATACGCGGCGTTTCCACTTCAGAAAATGCTATGACACGAAAAAATCTCGCATACTCTACCTAGCTGCCTACCGTATACCAAATTCATTGCGACATCAACAAATCATTGTAATGTCTTTCGGATTCCGCTGCTAGGAATTATCCACAGCTGCACAGAGTACCCCGCCCTCCTCGATTTGCCTCTTTGCTCCTAGCCCCCACCCCAATCTATCTTCCTCTCCCAAGCCCTCTTCTCTCTCTCTCTCTCTCTCTATCTCTCTTATTTGCTGTCCCCTTCCAATTCCCCTGCTCTCTCGTTTCCTTTTTCTTACCCTTTACATGTCCGTAACGTATTCACACATCATAATTATTGCAGCAGCAATCCGGTTCAAGAAATCGTCAATAATCAATACAGTGCTGCCACGCAGCAATGGGCGTAGAGGTCGCACATACGCACACGCACGGGCAGATGTCCATCGCTAACAGTGGCAAGCCCACTGCGCTATTGATGTTCTGTTTAGTCATTAAAATCGCCACTGGCTCGCAAACTCAATAATCCATGTGCCGGCATTAATTGCATAAGTTATGCCTTGCTCTGGCACTGACAGAGGCACGCTGCGTTGCTGCGCTGAGATCGGCCATGATGTAACGCGACCAGAGACGACCGCTGACCACTGCGTAACACCAGGCATCTAGACGATGTCGGTAACACACACGTACACGCGTGCTTACTAACGAAACAGAATGTTGTGATTAAACTCGCGATTTCTTCGCACCCCCTGGTGCAATTTACGCCGTCCATTTTTTCACCATCGTCACTCGAAAAAGGAACCGTTAACTAAGGAATGATGGCGACAATTGCGGCGACACGTTTATCAACGCGATCTGAACAACTCTTACAGTATTTCTGCTGATCGCGGCAACTTCCTGTATTGAACTACTGGTTTCATTTCTGATTGACCTAATGCTGTAATGGCAAACGACTTAAACTCGATTTAGCCACCCGCCATTACTAACGTTTGTCTGTAACGCATGTGCCATGACAACAGAAGTCCTTTCGATATACACATGTACATGTACGTGCGTGTAACAAAGACAATGAGACAGCAACACATCCACACACGCACGCACGCACGCACACATGCACACACCCATTCAGAGAAATGGATGAATAGATCGATGTATCATGGATGGATCGGTGGGTAGATGGATGTATGGATGGATGGATGGATCGGTGGGTGGGTGGGTGGATGGATGGATGGATGGATG